GAACTACTATACATTGTAATTATCAGAACACAAACTTATATAAAATAATATAAAAACAAGTAAAAAAGGTATATCAGCAACAAATCTGTAAGTGGCAGGACTCCATGTTGTTATTTATTATAATCAGAAAGAAGTGACTCCATGTTGTGTCAGGTGAGCATCCATTGCCACCTTCTCAGCCTCATATCTCTGAAAGTACTGACCCTAATTTTTTTTTAATCCTATAACACTTAGAAAAATGTGTTCTATATTTCTATAAAAACTATTTTTTTTTTTCAAAATATTCGGGGCACTGGGCAAGATCCATAAAGGAGGAGACCAAACAGACTTGAATAACTATAGGCCAATATCCAACTTACACCCTCTCTTTAAAATCTTCGAAAAATTAATTCATAAGCGAATCTATTCCTACCTCATCTCCCACAACATACTCAACCCCTGTCAATTTGGGTTCAGGCCTAATAAAAATACTAATGATGCTATTATACACATGCTAGAACACATATACACTTCAATAGAGAAAAAAGAAGTCCCACTGGGGATCTTCATAGACTTACATAAAGCTTTTGATACAGTTGACCATGACTTGCTCCATATAAAATTGTCGCACTATGGTATAAGAGGGCACTCCCTCAGCTACCTAAAGTCTTACCTCAGCAACAGAAGCCAATATGTGTACACAAACGGGGCAAACTCTTCAGCACAGCCAATACAGTTGGTGTCCCACAGGGAAGTGTCCTAGGCCCTCTTCTCTTTCTCATATACATAAATGATCTACCAAATGCATAGCAACTACTCAAACCCACACTATTTGCAGATGACACTACATACGTCTTCTCTCACCCGAGCCCAGTCACGCTAGCCAATACTGTACTGTGAATACCGAATTACAGAAAATATCTACCTGGATGAGTACTAACAAACTTACTCTAAACATTGACAAAACCTACTTCATTCTGTTTGGTAACAGTGCTACAGACGTCCCTCTTAACATAATGATAAACGGATCACCTATCACAAAACTCACAGAGGGAAAATTCTTAGGAATCCATCTTGATAATAGACTCAAATTTCAAACACATATACAACAAATTTCCAAAAAAATTTCCAAGACCGTAGGCGTACTATCGAAGATACGGTACTCTGTTCCACAGTCAGCCCTCCTGGCCCTATATCACTCACTTATTTACCCCTATCTCACCTATGGAATTTGTGCATGGGGCTCAACAACAATAAACCATCTCAGACCATTAATTACCCAACAAAAGGCTGCAGTCAGAATGATAACAAATTCCCACTACAGGCAGCACACTCCACCAATATTCAAAACTCTAAACCTACTCACCATACAAAACATCCATACTTATTACTGCACCTACTACATTCATAGAACACTTAATTCTGATATAAACCCTCCCCTCAAACGTCTCCTTACCAACCTCAACAGAACACATGACCATAACACAAGGCACAGATCACTCTTTGATGTTCCTCAAGTCCATCTCACGCTATGCAAAAACTCAATGCACATAAAAGGCCCTAAAATCTGGAATTCATTACCTGTGAATATAAAAGAAACACTGTCTGTTTATAAATTCAAGTCTCTTCTCAAAAATAACTTACCCACAACTAAATAAATACTGGATAATTGTATCTCATAAATTGTATCTCATAAATGTTTCTCATTATTGTTTCTCATAAATGTCTAACCTGTGACCCAATCAAACTTTATTTTTTAATTACATTACCCAACAGAATACTCCATTCTACTGAATGCTCAGCAACACAGTAAATGACCATATGACCTGTCTTTGTAATACTCATTTGTGCTAACTTGTTATCTGTTTACAATAATGTTTTTACCACTGAATATATCATTGCTTAGTTAATCTTAAGTTAATTTTAAGCCTGCCCATAATGCTCTGCATACAAGGGGTTTTGGCATGCTGCAATGTAATAACTGTATTCCTTTGTACTTCACTGTATCATGTTCAAATTAATAAATACAGTAAGGCCCCGCTTTATGGCGTTCCGCTAATACGGCAATGTCAAATTATGACCAAAATTTGCTATACGGCAAGCGGTCTTTTAAATACGGTGCCCCCACCCGGTTTGTTTACATTTTCCGTGACCACATCTATTATGTCAAGAAACTTTCCAAAATTTAAAGTGTTTTAAAGTTACTGCATATTTTATATGTACTCTGATAATTATACTTATGTGTACCTGTACTTAAATATACTTACACACTGTGCTGGTGTGCAGGTACACATTAAAATCGCTAAGTCTCTCTCTACTCATGACGCCAGTACTACGTAATAATAATCACTCTTGGGCACACTATATGTCTTATTTTACATCAATATAGACATTTTCATTAATCCATCTATGATATTTTCCTCAAAATTATATATGAAACCCATTACATAGCATATAAACATGATACATACACTCAGAATAAAAATTGATGTAAATATGAGATTTGTTTACAAAGCTGTGTAGGTAGTGTCGGAAGAATTACGTTTTCTCTAGTCAAACACTGGGGGGTAACTGTAGAAAAATATTCTTTTCGTATGCCTTTACTCTATGTATAGCAATTCACAACCCTTGTGGGTTTAGTGCTTTTTATAATAAATAATAATAATAATAATAATTAATAATAATAATAATAATATTATTATTAATATTAATACAGTGGACCCCCGCATAACGATTACCTCCGAATGCGACCAATTATGTAAGCGTATTTATGTAAGTGCGTATGTACGTGTATGTTTGGGGGTCTGAAATGGACTAATCTACTTCACAATATTCCTTATGGGAATAAATTCGGTCAGTACTGGCACCTGAACATACTTATGGAGTGAAAAAATATCGTTAACCGGGGGTCCACTGTAATAATAATATTATTATTATTATTATTATTATTATCATCTTCATTCACTCTAAAAATGGTGTGTTGCTGTTTGTTTATTCTGAAATAACTTGTAAACTTGTACACAATGTAAGAGTATTTATATTGTGAGGTAATCATTATTAAAATAAAAAAAATATTGAGGTAAATGTTTTACAAACTCTCACAAATGGACGTGAATGAACTAAAAGTAGACACATATTAATATGCATTTCGCCTGACCAAGTGATCGTCCACTACCTGTTCAGTTTGTGTTCATACATTGTCTCAACTCTGTATCTCGTTCTCTCTCTCGTTTACTCTTTCGTTAACTAGTTGGCTCTCATTGACGATGGCGTCTAAGGTTAGCTGTAATAAAAAGAGAAGTCGTAAGCCTCTTGCTTTAAGTGCCAAGGTAAAGGATGATTATTATTATTATTGAAGATTCACCGGTATTCTCCCGGCCCGGGCTTTTTCCAAGTGGTGGCCCGGCCTTGGCTCCTTCTTTAGGGAGTGTCTGAGACCGAAGTCTCCCATGGGAGGAGGCACAAGTACCCCCTCGTCTTTGGAACCAATTGTCCCTTCTCTGGTCTGCCATCCCCGCCCCAAGGGGGCTAATGGGAATGACAGTCTTGTGAGCTGTAAGCTCGGGCTCAGGCACCTACCCTACCCTAGAAGGGTTAGGCATGGTGTCGATCAGGGGATGGTGTGCCATTTTGATTTTATTCAATAAACACCCTGCCACTCACCTCTCACACATTAATATTAATATTTTAAGGTAAGTAATAAGTGTACTCTGTGTGTATCTTACCTTTTATTGTGTTTTTAATGCCTATTTCTATTGCTAACTTAATATAAGTTAGTGTAAACTTGTTGTCTGGCATTTATTACATATTTTATATGCTCTGATAATAATACTTGTGGAGCCGAGTGGAGGGACAACATTACGTTTTCTCTGTTCAGCCATCAGAGAAAACGTGTATGAATCTGCGTTTGGCCCAGCCACTCCCCCACTCCGCTTTTGTTTACAATTTTTGGCATGAATTATTCATTACTTCTACCTTCGTTTATGACTACACATATTTTAAGGTAAATAATGAGTGTACTGTATGTGCATTTTACCTCTCTGGGATGTTTTAAATATTGTATATTAAGTATGAGACGGGGAGCCAGTGCTACCTACACCTGGGCTACCTGCACCTGACTTCCTACAAATAAGTACTACTCACCTCTCTCCCTACATTAAGATTACAAATACTTTAAGATAAGTAATGAATTTACTGTGACTGTATTTTACTTTGTGTGTTTTTAATGCCTAGTTCTATTACTAACTTAATATAATTTAGTGTAAACTTGTTGTCTGGCATTTATATGCATTTATAAATGGAAAACAAATGGAGTTCTGCCTTCCGGCGACAGCCTGGAACCTAACCCGCCGTATAAGTGGGGCCCTACTGTAAATAAATAAATATGTTTGAACCATTTAGGGGTTAATAAAATAAATGGAGTTCTGCTTATCATTAGCAGTGCTGGTAAGCCATTTTGCCTTGAAGCCAGTCTGACTGGCTATTAGTCATACCAATAAAGTCATACCAATAAAGTGGAGCCTTTCTAAATCTTGAGGAACAAATGAAAACATAGCCACTAATGACATAGTGTATGTGATGATAGTGTTTTTTTGTAATAGTTATTGCATGAAGTAGGAAGTAGAGTAATAAGTTTTAATTCATAAGTAGCTACCAATGAACATACTTAAAAGGCACAACAATGGCCAACCTTACCGGAACTGATCATCCTAGTGATGAAACATCATGAATGCAACACATATGTGATTATGTAACTGCTTTATATATTCTTTCTTGAAAATTTGCTGCCATTAAAAGTGTTAATTCCATTTGAATGTTCAGTTTTATTAAAGTTAAAAAAAAGAGAAACTTATACAAAATGAAATAGAGTAATACAAATGGGTGATAATCTCTGATGGATGATAAGAAAAATTCACATTTAGCCACTGTGCAATTAGTTGTCATTACAGTTCTTACGGGATTTGTATTAAATGTATTTATATTATAATTGTTAGTATTTTGTTATTTCTTTATATTTTCAGTGTGTTGCCAACAGGTATAAGAGAACAGTGGCTGAAATACACCAGAACCCTGAATCTCCAAGAAACTTTATGTTAGATGATGATGAATTTGCTGATACTACACCATTTGGTAAGAAAAGCACATTTTAGCTTGTTGTTCATCAGTTTATGTATCACATGCTCTGTAAATATGTTACGTACCTCAAAATTATAACACTTGTCCATAACCATCTTAAAGTATGGTGGGGTATAGTTTTGGAGTGGCTTGTACATTTGTTCACTATATGGCATTATATAGGCATATGTTAACATGTTAGATAGGAATGGAGACGAATGGTTTTTGGGACTTGATGAGCTGTTGGAGTGTGAGCAGGGTAATATTTTATGAAGGGATTCAGGGAAACTGGTTAGCTGGACTTTAGTCCTGGAGGTGGGAGGTACAGTGCCTGCACTTTAAAGGAGGGGTTTGGGATATTTGCTGTTTGGAGTGACATCTGAACTGTCACATCTGCATGCCTCTGCAAAAACAGTGATTGTGTGAGTGATGGTAAAAAGTTTCTTTTTTGGGCCATCCTTCCTCGGTGGGAGACGGCCAGTGTGTAGAAAAAATCTGTTGATCTGACAGATAGTTATATTTCATTTATGCCTGTGGCATCAAGGCCTTCAATTTTGATGTATTCACTCAGTTAATTTTTTTAATCCTTTTTCAGTTTCTAGTAATGCCACTCAGCCTTGTTTTCTTTGGAGGGCAAACATGTCCTCTATAATTATACAAGCAGGTTGCCGCTTTTCACTACGAGTCTCTGTTTAGTTTTATCAAGGAATTCAGTGTGTTGTGCTGTTATCTTGGATGTGATCTGAGTTTGTACTGTTGGTTAGTAGTTTTCATATCAGGCATTTTATCCACTCTTGTTTCACAGCTTTTTCCAGAGTTATAACAACTGTTATAGAGAGAGGTTTATAGTTTTAAAAAAGTTCTCTATCACTTTTTGTAAATACTCTAGGTGCAGTGTTTGCACGTCACCATTTTTCTTTGGTTTGTCTCTTATAATAAAGTCCCCCCCCCCCCAAAAAAAAAAAAAAAATAAATAAAATAAAATAAAATAAGTAAATAATTTTTTTTGTTTTTTTTTCAACAAGTCGGTCGTCTCCCACCGAGGCAGGGTGACCCAAAAAAGAAAGAAAATCCCCAAAAAGAAAATACTTTCATCATCATTCAACACTTTCACCACACGCACACATTATCACTGCTTTTGCAGAGGTGCTCAGAATACAACAGTTTAGAAGCATATACGTATAAAGATACACAACATATCCCTCCAAACTGCCAATATCCCAAACCCCTCCTTTAAAGTGCAGGCATTGTACTTCCCATTTCCAGGACTCAAGTCCGACTATATGAAAATAACCGGTTTCCCTGAATTTTTTTTTTTTTTTTTTTTTTTTTCAACAAGTCGGCCGTCTCCCACCGAGGCAGGGTGACCCAAAAAAGAAAGAAAATCCCCAAAAAGAAAATACTTTCATCATCATTCAACACTTTCACCACACTCGCACATTATCACTGTTTTTGCAGAGGTGCTCAGAATACAACAGTCTAGAAGCATAAACATATAAAGATACACAACATATCCCTCCAAACTGCCAATATCCCAAACCCCTCCTTTAAAGTGCAGGCATTGTACTTCCCATTTCCAGGACTCAAGTCCGACTATATGAAAATAACCGGTTTCCCTGAATCCTTCACTAAATATTACCCTGCTCACACTCCAACAGATCGTCAGGTCCCAAGTACCATTCGTCTCCATTCACTCCTATCTAACACGCTCACGCACGCTTGCTGGAAGTCCAGCCCCTTACCCACAAAACCTCCTTTACCCCCTCTCTCCAACCCTTTCGAGGACGACCCCTACCCCGCCTTCCTTCCCCTATAGATTTATATGCTTTCCATGTCATTCTACTGTGATCCATTCTCTCTAAATGACCAAACCACCTCAACAACCCTCTTCTGCCCTCTGACTAATACTTTTATTAACTCCACACCTTCTCCTAATTTCCACACTTCCGAATTTTCTGCATAATATTTACACCACACATTGCCCTTAAACAGGACATCTCCGCTGCCTCCAACCGTCTCCTCGCTGCTGCATTTACCACCCAAGCTTCACACCATATAAGAGTGTTGGTACTACTATACTTTCATACATTCCCTTCTTTGCCTCTTTGATAACGTTTTTTGACTCCACATATACCTCAACGCACCACTCACCTTTTTTTCCCTCATCAATTCTATGATTAACCTCATCCTTCATAAATCCATCCGCCGACACGTCAACTCCCAAGTATCTGAAAACATTCACTTCTTCCATACTCCTCCTCCCCAATTTGATATCCAATTTTTCTTTATCTAAATCATTTGACACCCTAGAATCTCCATAAGCACAGTTCTCGAAAAAAGTAACTGTTCAATTCCTTTTAATTTGATTCCCAAAATTTAACCCCACCCCTTCCCAAACACCCTAAGCTTTTATTTCCCTTTAAAACCCCCATCATAAATAATTAAACAACCATGGGACATTACACATCCCGTTAAACCTACTTTTCCCCGGGAAGTAGTCTCCCTCTCTTCTACACACCCTAACCTAGCCTCACTATCCCAAAAAAAAACCTTTACAGCTTTTAAATAACTTACCACCATTCCATAACTTGCAACACTGCCACATTGCTCCTCTATCCACTCTATCATATGCCTTTCTAAACCCATAAATGCAATAAAAATTTCCCCTATCTTTATCTAAACTTTTCACTTTTAAATGCTTCAATGTAAACACCTGATCTACACATCCCCTACCCACTTAAAACCCCTTGCTCACCCGAAATCCTACATTCGTCTTACCTCTATTTTTTCAATTATAACCCTACCGTACACTTTTCTGGTATACTCGTAAGCTTATTCCTCTATTTTTTTACAGTCTTTTTGTCCCCTTTTCCCTTTTATAAAGGGACTTACATGCTCCTGCCCCCCTGGGTCCCTTTCCCCCTTTTTTATCATTTTTTAAAACAAAAGTACCAACCACTCCAACATATACCCCCCCCTGCTTTTAACATTTTGTCAGTCCCACAGTTCCCGCTTTACCCCCTTTCATTTTACTAAGGCCTCAGTACCTCCCCCACACTTAATTTGCTCTTCTTCATCCAAAAAGATGGTAACCCCCCTGACCAGTGATGAATTACCCCCCTTGTTTCTTCCTTAAAATTAAAAGTTCCTCAAAATTTTCTCGCCATCTTCCCAATCCCTCCATCTCCCCATCTACTAACTCCCCCACTCTTTTTAACGAAAATCCATATTTTCCCCGGGTTTCTTTCTTGTTAAAACACTCCAAAATTTTTTCTTATTTCCTTTAAAAATTTTTGACAGTGCCCCTCCCCCTCTATATTGCCTCCTTTTCACTCTCTACCCCTCTCTTTACTTTCTTTTATCTCCCTTACCTGCCCTTTTTATAACATTCTGCTTTTTAAAAACCTTCATAAGCTACCTTTTTTTCTTTTATACACCCCTTTTCTTCATCATTCCACCAATCATCCCCTTTTCTCCCGCCCCCCCCCTCCTATAACCACAAACTTCTGCCCCACTTCTAATTTTCTGCATTTTTTAAAACTATTCCAACCCCCTTAAAACCCCCCCCCTACCATCTTTGCACTGCCCCCTTTCGCCCAAAAGTCGCTTTAATCTCACCCGAAATTCCTCCTCCCCTTGTTTATACACTTTCACCCCCTCTTACTTTTTGTTGCCCCCTCCCCTTTTCCCATCACCTTTACTCTACTGTGCTACAATAATAATGTCCCAAATATCATTTGCCCCCCTTTAAAAATGTACATCCGGAGCCTACCATCAATTTTATCACCAATACAAACTAATAAACTACTTTTATTCGGCTACATATACCTTGTATATTTATTTATCCCCTTTTTTTAAAAATATGTATTACTTATTACCAAAAAATTTTTTTCTAACAACTCAATTAAGGCTTCCCCCCCTTTTCATTTTTCCCCCCGGGACCCCCAAATTTTCCTACTCTCCCCCTAACATTTTTACCCACTTTAGCATTAAAAATCCCCCAACCACCCTTACTCTCCCACTTTATTTTAAAATCCCCACGCTTCACTCAACATTTCCCCCAAAAAACCCCCTCTCTCTCCCCTCACTTCTCTCTTCTCCAGGGCAAACGTTTTAAAACCCACTTTTTACATCCCAAATTTTTTTTTACTCCCCAAAACCTTTAATTAATACATTTTAGTCCTCTTTTCCGCCATAGTTTTCCTTCAACATTATTTCTACTCCTTCTTTAGCTCAACTCTATTTGAAACCCCGACCTATCCCCTTTTTTCCTCCCCACGAAAAATCCCCACCCCTTCAGCTTTGTTTCACTTAAAGCCAGGCATCCGCTTCTTCTATTCATAACTCCCCAAACATTTTCTTTTTTATCTCTGCACAAAAATCCCGCCCATTTAGATTTTCCCCTTTTACAATTTTTTTTTTCTTTTTATTCTTTTTAGTAAAACTTTTCAGGAAAGGGGTTCTAGCCCTTGTTCCCGGGATTTTTGTTGACTTTTCAACAGCATGGCTTACGGAGGAAAAATTCTTATTCCCCTTCCCCTTCCCCTTTACAAATTTACCCGCTCACCTCCAAACATTCAGGTCCCAAGTTCATTCGTCTCCCTTCACCCCATCTAACACCTCAGCACGCTTGGAAGTCCAAGCCCCCCCCACAAAACCTCCTTTACCCCCCTTTCCAACCCTTTCGAGGACGACCCCCCCCCTTTTCCTTCCCCCATAGATTTTTTGCTTTCCAGCATTTTTACTTTGACCCTTTTCCCTAAATGCCAAACCACCTCAAAACCCCCCTTTGCCCTCTGACTAAAACTTTTTTTAACCACACCCTTTTCCTAATTTTCCCCACTTCGAAGTTTCTGAAAAATTTACACCCCACATTGCCTTTAGACAGGAACTCACACTGCCTCCCAAACCTTCCTCGCGCTGCATTTTTTCCACCCCCCGTTCACATCCATATAAGAGTGTTTGGGACTACTATACTTTTATACTTTCCCTTTTTTGCCCCCATAGATAAGTTT